GGGGGGGGGGGGTTAGGAGGTGTGAACACAGGATGTCCTCTGTGGGCAACAGGTCTGTCTGCGCCGAACCTTTCCTACTCTCTGCTATCTCATGTTGACAGAGCTTGTACCTTGTTAAGATTTTTCTCAGTTCTGGGTCAGTCTCAGTGGTCTGCCATTTTGTACGGTCTGGTCTGAGAGGGATAAGTTTGATATTTTATATTCGGGGATTTTATCGCTTCATTCCACAAAGTCTGAAATGTTTCCTTCGGTTTAGTAATTTCCCGCCGTGCTGATAAGTCCTAGCTTGCTATATTATTCTCTTCAATTATCCTGTGTGCTAATTTAATTTTTTTTTTTCTTCCAGGAACATGGGCCTTTTCCTGGAGTCTTAATAATTCCGTTCAAGATGTTCAGGCTTTACTTTAAGACTTCTGCAAATCTGCAAAGAAAATGAATTTTATTTCTTCGTCTTGGAGTTTCAGAACTGGTGCCTAATCTACAGGAAAGTTCATTATCAAAGATATTAGCTCCTCATCTCACTCCACATCTGTATTTTTCTCTCCATATTCTGTCTTTAAGTGTGTGAGGCCATACAGCGGTTTACATCCAGAGGACTCTGTTTGCACACAAGTTACAATTTCTGTACTTCAGCTACGGGGAACAGCTGACGGTTACTGCCTAAGACAACTCAGCACAGACTCCAACATGATGAAAGAGAGTGCAAAAGAAGGCAGCAGAGAGGAAGAAAAGAAGAAAGATATAAAGGAAAAGGGGTTAGAGTGGAGAAATAAAGATCATTGTTTGAATTAAGTGAGCTGAGCGTGTTTGAAGATTTCATATGTGCACGCTGGAGGCACTGCTGGTCACTGTGTGGATGTGGAGAACAGCATTTGCAATGCAGGGGTTGATGGTGGATTGTAGAAGGGGGGAAATGAAAATTTGATGGGAACAACTCACTCTCTTAATGGAGTTTGTATTTTTCAGTGATCTCTGTTTTCCCTCTACTCATGGAGAAAGAACTTGAATCTGATCCTGTTCTTAGTAAAATGCTTCTCCCCACAAATCTAATCTAGAATTGACTGAGGTCTTGAAAAGGCAATTTCCTTGGAACCATTTGTGCTACTTCCAGCCCCCCCCCCCCCCAGAGGAAATGAGGAAATGCAAAAAAAAAAAGTGTATCACAAGACCGAATTCCTTACGCTCCGATATCCTCTCCCAGGAAGCAGCGGTTGCGCAGAAGTCCCGCCCACAGCTGGACTCCCACAATGCCGAAGATGAAAAAGACGAAGAAGCAGAGGAGGAGGACGTTTCCTAACATGGGCAGGGTGTCCAACAGCAGTGTCACCAAGATCCTCATACCTACAAAGTGGGACACAAAGATGTCATCAGCAATTATTATTCTGACGCATAGCACATGAGCGAGCATTTACGCACACGTTTAAAGTTCACATTCATGATAGACACCTGAATTCTGCATGTGCAGGGGCAGCAGCGAGGCTTTTTCTAACCCTCTGGTAACCGTACACCCCGATAACCTCTATTGATCTTGTGAGCTTGGAACCAACAACTTCATGCCCACAGCCAATATATTTACAATATACTGAAAGTGACAGTTTGACATTATTTCATCCTCTGGGATTTGAACTTGCAGCTTTCCCGTGGCTAGTATTATCTAACCACACGCGTTCAGCATCCATCTCCAGCTGTCAGATGTGCTCAGCGTCAGCAGAGTCAGGGATCCAGTCCCCGAGGTCTTCACAATGTGTTCTGTCCCCTTTCACGTCTACCACGGCCTTGTCACATTGACCACACTTACCAGTACAGTAACATTGTTCTATGGCAGTGCCACAGCGTAACGCTAATCTTAAACAGTGGCAATGACGAGACTCTCCTCAAGTCTCCAACACTCTCAATCTCAAGAGTGTTTGTGCTGTGTCACTGCAATAGAAAACTCTGTCTGAATCCGTTATGATTTGACGGCGATCGATGAAAATATGGTTTATTTTATGGGAAAAATCCGCACTAAACTCAACCAGTGTTCTTGTTCATTTCCAAATATTATCAAAGTACATTTCCAGAAAGAAATCTCAATTATTTAAGCACGTTTTTAAGCACAGAGATGCATGATGTGAATATTCTTGATAGTCTCCTAGTTTGAATGAATAATAATTAAATAATTCATGTATAAATTAAAGAGCCCTGCACATTTAGCCAGATGTTGCGCTCACAATTAATAACTGTAGTCATTCATCTTGATGGAACATTGCAATCTGCTACTTTCTCCATGTTGTATGCACATTTTTGTCTAAATGTATTGTTAAGGGTTCCATGAAATTACAAGTGTAAATGTTGTGACTGGCAGTGTTATGGTTACAATTATTGACTTGGAATCACAAAGACTTTGTGGAGAAAATAAAGTCAATAGTGAAAACAGCATTATGAAGATCTGAAAGGCCCCTCTTGTTTAGAAAAGTGTCCTGATGTTGAAGTACTAACTGTTCCCTCTCAGAGGGAATGACTCATCAGTGTTTAGTGTGTGTCTTTTTTTTTATTTTTGTTTATCCATGTGTGCTTCTTTGCACACCCATTACATACAAAGATTTTGTCTAGGACAGTGGCACAGCATGAAATGTGCTAAGGTGAGTTTTTGCTTTAATCTTCACGTCTACCGGAACGCAAAAGTCTACTCTGATCATTTATCAATCCATCGAGCCTCTCTTAATGACTGACTGTCCACAGTTCAGCTGCAGAGCAAGAGTCATGGCCTTGACGTAGAATGGAAACCAGAAAATAACAGTATCACTTCCGGTCACAGTTACACCACCTTCATAAAAATCAATGGAATGTCCAGTTAAAGTCATTGATCACCAATATGTCAAAGATTTTCTTGTATTTTCTTGTGTTGTTAATATGACTTTTTATACACCATATATATATATATATATATATATTTTTTTTTTTTTTTTTATCTGACAAATGTCTTTTT